GATAGCGCTAGTCTGCCGTAAAGAGATAGGTGACTGCCTGCCAGTCGATTCACGCGCGTACCCACGCAGTAGCCTTTCTACAGAGCGGCTCACATTTTCTTTTCGTTCGAAAAAGAAACTCAAATTTCCATTGCACACGCAAGATGATGACAAAGATGGTGGTTCCAGCGCATAAAGCAGATTGTAATGTCCACCCCCAACTCGGGCCGGGATCCGGCGAGGGTGCCTGGTGAGGTGTCAACGCAGAGGTCTAGCCGCAGTAGCGACTCAACTTTAACAGCTTCGAGCAGAAGCAGACGAGCGCAACAACGATTGCAAGGGACTCCTCGTTCCACGCCAGGGCGAGTGAGAGATCCTGCGTCCGCATTGGAAGCATTGGCAGCGGCGGCATCTCGAAGAGGGACCCCTCTGTTGAGTAGAGGAGAAGGCACAACAGGAGGCAGCAGTTCTTGCAGTCGAACAAGAGATCCGCTTGAAAATTTGACCCCTGTGGAGTATGAAGTTGCCTATGATGAGCGATGCGCCTCTGAGAATGCAGGAGCATCTGATTCTGAAGATGAAGGCGACAGCGGCGTTCTGAATCTGCGTCCCAACCAAGAAGGAGAGAGCGAAAGGCGAGAAGACAATGTTGTTGCACTGCCGGATGAAGATCTTGTTCCAGAAAATTCTGCAAGCAACAACAGTGGTGTTGCATTGCTTGGTGCTCCGCCAGGTTGGAAGATGCCAAGTGCGCCAGATGATTGGATACCACCAGCTCGCAATGCTGCCAAAGGAGAGCCAAAGTTTGAAGATGTAGACAACCCAGGAATGTGGAGTCAGTTTACCTTTCGCCCAAAATTTGACTCCAAGACAAAGAAATACAGTCATCATTGTCTTCCAACCGGAGCTACTCCAGTTCCAGCGAATGCTACCGGCGAAAGAGCTGTTGGGGATTGGAAGTTCTTTTATGATGGTTGGCAGCGAGCTGATTTTGATGCAACGCTTCCGGAATACAGGGATGGCGGCAACCGTGAGAACATGTTTCCCGATTGCCGAAAAGGATCTCTCAGCCGGACTGCTTTGACAAGACTTGGTCTTACAAAAGAGCGAATGCAAGAGGAAGATGGTGCACCTGACGCATTGTTCTTTTTCCAGCTTCTCCTTCCCATTTGCGATACCAAAAGAAACAACCAAGACCCAAGGAAGTCTTTTTACTTGGACGTTTCCACCAATAGCAACTCTTATGCTGTTGCAGAGCTTGGACTTGGTTCGGGGTACGGACATCGCTTCCATCCGGTGACGATTCCAGAACTTGTCCGGTGGGATGGTTCTGTTATTCAAGATGGAGTTAGAGGAGGCAGTCAAGGAGCGATGTTGAGACGTTTTGATTTAAGGGATGACAACCAAGCTTTTGACACTCTTATCAATCAAGCCTTCACCAAGACGCGATGGTTGGAAATCAAGAGAATTTACAAGCTTTGCAACAACCTCCGTGCACCAAAGCGAGGCCAAGACAACTACAACCCAGCCTACAAGTATGACTTCATCTATGACATTCTAATTCACAATGTCAATGCTGTTACTGAAAATTGCGCTTTGGATCAGTCAGTTGATGAGACAAGTTGGGGGCACCAAGGCTTTGGTGAACCACTGTCCGGTGTTGTGTCTCAAATCATTGGCAAGCCAGGCATTTGTCGCGGTGGACAAACTGTCCTCTCTATTGATGTTGGATGGATCCGTCCTAGAGCTTATGTTCACCGACACAAACTCCACGCTGCACATTTCAGTCAACAAGGACCAAACGAAATCAAGATGCTTCTAGATCGGCTGGACGTTCTTCTGAAAGAACAAGTTGACGCTGATGGCCATCGTCGGGAAGGAATTCTATCCACGAAGCCACATCTCACTGCCGACAATCACTTCAGTGGTGAGACTATCTTCGACTATGCCGCAGAGAATGGATATGGATTGACAATGACATGCAGGCGAGACCGTCTGCCAAGGGGCGTACCGTCCAAGTTCTTTCACAAAGAAAAGACAAACTCAACACTGCGTCCCAAAGTTGCCAGATTTGAAAAGCCCATCTTTGCCATTAAACGGATTGGTCAATCTCTCATTCAGCATACCTATTCCAGTCCACGAGTTCCTGCAACATCACTTCTGTTAATGCTCTGAACTCACTCGATCTGTATGGCCAATCGAAAGAGCGAGGAAGGGGAACCATGAAAAGAAAATGGGCCATTGAGATGAATGAGTCGCGACAGCTGTATCTCAGTACATACAATCAAGTGGACCGGCTGGATCACTTGATTCAGAACTGTCAAATGTCTTACCGGTTGGTTGAATGTGTCATGGTGGTTGATTGTTGCATGAACGTCTGTTAACTCTTGTTCTCTTCTTTCGTTCCTCCAGTTCCTGGAAGTACTGGCATGCTCCGATGATCCACGCTAAGGCCATGGCTGTTGTCGTTTCTTTTGACATGTATCTTGAATGCTCGAAGGAAAGGTTGATGCTGATTGGAAGATTGAAAGCCCATTGACTTCTATCGGTTTCGCGAAAAGCTGGCCAGGCAGATGCTCCTCTATTCTCCCAAATACCACCATTATCTCGGAGACGACAAGTTTCGCGATTCAACCGTTCTTCCTAAAGAAAAGAGACCTCGATCCATTAGCCCCACTCGAACAAGAGACAATGATGAATACACAACCTCATCTGGAATTGGTGCCAACAGTCTCCAAGATGAAAGCGCTGCGCGCCTTTGTGGATTCCTTACTCCTCTCATGGAGCATTACAATGCCACAAACAAGATGGGCAATGGATCAAAGAAACTCACTTGTGCGTTCTGTGGAAAAGCGACCTATCAGTTTTGTACTCTCTGCAACAAGGCACTGCACAAATACCCCCAGGCAGATGTTGGTGATGGCAAGACAGCATGTTTCTTTCATTGGCACAACACCGCTTCATTTGGATTGGCACGCAGTGACTGGAGGATTACAGGGAAGAAGATGAAAGAATGGAGTTACCCAACCAAGCAATTGCTCCAAGATAATGAAACTGAGATGCGACGCCTTCATGATCAGGTACTCGGCAGCGACAGCGGCAACAACAGGCCTTCCGAAAGCGCTGACAGCAACAGTGGAAACAACAACAACAACAACAACAACAATGACACTGTGGTTGATGATGCCGACGCAAGAGACGTCATTTAACTGGTCGGCAGCAACACTGCTGGGCAGCTTGTTGTCACTGGGTAGCAGTGTTATCGCTAGAAGTGATATTGGTCTACATGATTTCTGGTAGCAATTTTTACGTAGACGACACAGACCATCCACTAACACTCACTGCTGTGCAGCGATTTTTCAAGCCGTGACTAAACGATAATGCATACCAGTACCTCTATGATACCATAGTACAATCGTACCATGTAGGTAGACTAGCTCCTCGAAACAAAAAACAAAGGCAGAAAAAAAATGAATCAAATCAGTCACGATGATGACGCTACTAGTATGTCATAGAAGCCGCTTCTCGCACGATTGCAAAATGTCAATTTCCAGTCCCATTGCGACATTGACCGTTATGTCCACCAGAAGCACGTCCCACAAGCAAGCCAGTCGTAACCCTTTTGTGACCATAAATCTCTGAGTTACGAGTGGAGGTGGGAAAACCCAAAGAGTGACGTCTCTCTGGCTTTTAAAAAAAAAAAATTAATAGCCACAATGTACTAGCTAGCTAGACCTTCGGAAGACAGAGTGTCAACAATTTTATTCTTGGATACCTTGTTCAATAGAGGAGGAAGATAGGTAGTACTGATACATACAGTAACAGAGGTATGGATCACCTCATTGATCTTTCTTGGCACCAGGAATCACCTTCTTCTGGTTGCCTTTTCCACCAGCAACAACCGCCAACATGCAAGTGCCCCAATTAGCAGTAGTATGAAAGGCCCAAATCCAGACCTCAACAAAAGCAGCTCCATGGCGTAGATTGTGCTTATCACCGGGAGTCCAAGAACAGCAAGATGAATTGAATTGCGGCATGTTGTTTCTCTCCCCACAACACAACAGCGAAACCCAGAGCCACATATTCCAACATCCCTTCGTTATTGTGGCGCTGACAGAATTTGTTGGAGACAGTCTGACACGCAACACGCAGGGGACTGAGGTACACATGACCCACATCGGCCTGACGGAGTGGGAGTTTAATGCCTCCGACTTCAAAGAGCTCATTGGCGCTGGATTGATAGGCCGCATACGCCGATGCCAGAACGCCATCAACGACGATGGTTCCATCGGCTGTGAGGGGAGCATAAATTCCTTCACGGTCGACCGTGTCGATCCGAGTGATACCTACCCACCTGGGATCATGATCGGTTGTCATGTGAAGTAGAGAATCACCCAGCTTGACCGAATCCGCTCGCACCGGGCCTCTCTTGCCTTTGACCACAACCATATGCTCTGCGCTCAGCTCCAAGTCGGGTCGCTTGCTGCTCTCGGTTCTAATCTTAAGGAAGGTGGCGGGCTTTGTTTCATGACGATGGGCAAAACCGTAAATGGGCTCAAACGTTTGATGGTTGGTCATGACACGGTCTCCTAGACGAAGGTCTTTCATGGCAACCGGATGCGGGTGATGTTCCACCTGCACGGTGGCGGTTTCAGAGAAGCAAATGCTATCGTCATCACCAGGGGCGGGTGTTGGAGCTGGGGTAGGGACCTCTACTCCGTCATAAAGGTTCGCAATGAAAAAAGCCGTGGCATCCCCAAGCACCTCGTGGCCGATATGATTCAAATGGTAGCTGTCTTGCTCCCTGTTGCAGTTAAGATCATGGACCCATCCATCAAAGTTACCCCCCTCGATCCCTACTCGTGGCTCGTGGCCAGCGAAGATTCTTTTGGTCTGGTCAAACAAAAAGGCAAACTCGCGACCTGTAGGTGGGAATGACGGAAGCAATTTAGCGCCCCCACTGGAGAAACAGGGAACAACAAAGAAAGAGGCGACCATCATTCTTTCCTACAGTGTACGTCCTACGTACCTGCTGCAGTATTGGCGGCTAGCACTGCAGCAAGCTGGCGTGCTTGTACTGCGTTTCCAAGATCGATCAGACTATCAACAATGTCCATGTTTCCATCACTGAAGCCGCAGCTGAGAAGCAAACGAGTAAGCGAGCCACGGGTATTGAAACAGTGGAACTCTCTGCTGCACTTACCAGTCTTCAACCCAAGGTCTGCCCTCCGTAATGATATGAGGAAAGGTCATCAACACAATCTTGGAGTCAGCATTGGCGCTGAATTTAGCGTTGATGGCCAGCAGGGCGGCTGTCATGTCGGCTTCAAATGTTGGGAGGAGATCGATGTTTGTGGTCATGACATTTTCACAGGCAGTTTTACTTTGCGAGCCGCCGACAAAGCAACTCCTCACGAGGGTCTCAAAATTCAGGTCATTACCACCCAGCCCAATGAGGACCAAGTCGGTTGTGGAATCCACCCAGTTCAGCTGTGGTTGCAAGAAACGAGTGCACGTAGTACCACTCGAGTCGAGTTCGTAGGACTCCTCTGGCGCAAAGTTCGTAGCGGGACAAGTTCCACCATCAGCTCGTCTAAGACCCGTGTTGACTCGTGCGTTTTCTAGATGCGAGATGACACCATCACTGCAGCCTCGATTCAGGTATACGCCCCCGATCTTGTCGGCAGCTTGTGCGAGCCAACTGTTTGGGCTTCGGTAACACTCGTACGGTCCTGTGTAAAATCCAAGGGCACCATTTCCGGATGCGTAAGAGTCCCCAATTCCCACAATACTAATTTGGGCAAAAGCTTGAAGGCTGCTCGCAAGGAGCAAGAAGAGAAGAGAGGCGATCATTATAGATTGTGGCAGCTGGCCTTTTGTGAGTGCAATACGACGTACCGGTACCAGCTTTCGAGAGTACTGTCTTCTTTTCTACTATCATACGCCTTTCAACGCTCCAGTGATGATTGCTTTGATTGATGAGCAAATACAGCGTACGTGGATAACATGTTCTTCACAAATAGGTTGTCTTCTACTACCAAAAGGGATTTTAGTTAGTCACCTCGCGCGGGTGGGAGTCGCCGTAAGATCTTGCAGCAAGAAGGCGCAGCCGTTCCGCAAACTCAACCGTGGGACCACCCCCGAACCCACGAAGCTGAGGCCATCACATCGGCAGGAAGTGGCCTTCACATACAGTCTGTTCCCTCTTATATTAATTATTCTTATATTAATTTCCCTCTTAAATTTATGCTTTTGGATTCCCCCCTGAGTCACTAGTGGCTAGTGACTCATTGAATGACAGAAGCCATGAGTGTGGAGGCTGCAGACCCTGAATTTCTGATATATTTGGAGGCAAAGGAGTATCTTAGAAATCTCAGCATCAGCTGTGAGAGCTCGGACATGTCTGTTGGTGCCTAAGTCCAGCTGGATCCATTTGCCAAGGCCATCTCAGTGGCCCCACGAGAGATATAACTCTCCATGACTGATAGATACCTTCCCTACCGTACTCTACTAAACCAAAAAAAGGACACCGAGGATAAAGATATACCGGGCGAGATCTTAAAAGATGGGCCGGCATAGTAATATTGTTGAAGTTTGGCTGAAGGTAGTGTCATTAGATTTTTCCATCTGAGAAAGTGGCAGTGGTAGTACGGGAGTTTAGAGGTGTGCAACGTGAGACGTTAGATTTTTTCCGTCTGAGAAAGAGGTGTGGTACCTTACGGGAGTTTAGAGATGTGCAACATGAGACAATTAAGATTTTTCCATCTGAGAAAGTGGCGTGGTAGACTTACGGGAGTTTAGAGTTGTGCAAATGTGAGGAAAATATTCAGGATCCGTTGCTATAAAAGAGAATGTGTAAGAAATGTGGGGCCCAAGAAGGGCTTCGTTTTAGATAAACTCTAACCCTAAGGATAACCAACCAACCAACCAACCACCACCACAATAAACGTGTTCAGAGATCACCGGGGTCTGCCCGGTATATTTATAAAACATATCAACCTCCATTCCACATGAGGAAATGTTAGGGCATTCTCTACTCATTCTCGTCCTATTTTCTCGTCCTATTTTCTTGTCCTATTCTTAGGACGAATTGGCAATCTCTAAAAAAATTGCTCTAAAACTGGACTTAGATAAAACGGGTTTTAGGACCGAGTCGAGTTCATTCTCTATAAAATGGTCCTAAAAGCTCGTCCTAACTAAACTAGCTAGTGAAGTTTGCACCTCTCCTCTATCAGCCTATTAAAGTGGTCCTGATAGTGTGGCTAGAAAGCTTCCCACAAAGCACCTCAGTGGTCGAGGTTGGAGTTTCGTCTATGGCTACGGTACGTGTACAGTGAAGCTACTACCTCGTACGGATAGCCACAGTGGTGCGAGCTGGCCATGGGAGTGGAGTTACTAGTACTCAGTCTTGTTAACTCAATCTTGTTATCTCGATCGATGGTGATGTCATCAAAGGAGACTCGAGGATTTAAAGGATTTATTAGGACGAGTCTTTGGAACGAGTTTCTTTTTTCGTCGTATTTTCGAAAAATAGGACGCAAATTTTCAGTTCGTCCTAAAAATCGTCCTAAAAATAGGACGATTTTGAGTTAAAGATTGCTTTTGTCCTAAAAATTCGTTCTAAAATCAACTTAGAACGAAACTTAGGACGAACGAATCTATTAGAGAATGCCCTTATAGTTCACACCCGAGAGCCCCCCCCAAGAACAATGACTTAGATTAATTTTATTACGAATAATATTACTGCAGACAACAGACAACGCACTCTCGACACATGCCAACAACCTCCTTGCACGCATCCACATTGACACACTGACAACCATGGCTCCTCGTACGGTAACCTGTGTCAAGATGCCATCGTCCCGCCACAGAAAAGTCTTGTGGAACTGTGATGAGTGGCAGGAGCAGCCTTTTCCAGGTAGTCTAGCTAGTGGTACGGTAGTGTATTATTTATTGCCAGTACTTTGGAGGTGTCTTGGAGGAGGCTTGTGTTGTACCGGTACGCTTCATCTTTGCATGACAGTGAGAGATGACATTTGAGGATCACTTGGCACTGGAATTGACGGCAACTCAAGCAGGAGTGGTGCAGGATTCCGCCGAGGGGCATGTGACTTCCAGAAGACATGCGCATCCCGTCAGCCAAGGACAACTGGAGGATGATTTGCCGTCAGGAGAAGATGCCTGGTTGGGTTGGAAACAAATAACGGCCGCCAAAGTCTATGCCAAGTTGATGGTGGTCTCTGTCACGGTTCTCCTAATGTTCTGGTTCAGTTATGTTGTCGTCATTTGCAACTCTACCTACTTTTGGAGCCCCAAGAACAGCGATAAGGACAATCCATTGGAGGTTCTTGTGTGTGAACCCATCAAATCTGTGGTTCTTTCCTGGTCTTGGAAGCTGGAAGAAGAGCATTCGGGGTTCCCCATGTGGCCAGCGACGATAGTTCTCACAACAATACTCATTGTTCTGCCAGCAGTACTCTTGCTGGTACCCATCTCGGATAGCAGCAACACCAAACCATGCAGAACGAGCAGAACATCAGAGTCTTGGTGGCAGAAGATGCAAATCCGCTTTCGTTTCCGCGGCGACCCAGATATCCGACTCTGGTCTTGCATCTTGTTGATTGTTCCCATTGCCACCGTCCTCCTCGTCATGTTGTTCAAACCCATCCCGGAAGATGTCCGACAAACCATGCATCAGGATGTTGTGACCGTCGTTGTCACACAACTCATTACCAGTTGGGCCAACCCGACAGGATATGGTGCCGTGGTGGCATTGCCCTTCTTTCTGGTCCCCGTTGCCAAGCAATCGCCACTCTTGTCACTGCTGGGGCTGTCCCCCGCACTGGCAGTAGGATTTCACATTTGGGCGGGACGCATCTGTTGGGTCTTGGCCAGCATTCACGGGACACTCCATACCATTGTGGCGGTCTTTGCTACTAACAGTAACGGCAGTCACAAAGGGATGCTCGAAACGGCAATTCACAACTTGGTTCCCATGGAAAGGAACTGCTGGAGGTGGCAGAGCCCAGGAGGCTTTCGAAAGGATGAAGAACCAGAAACCTATTGTTATCATTCTTGGCTTAATCTTACGGGCATTATTGCTGTCACGGCACTCTGGATCCTGGTCATGACATCATGGAATGTGATTCGGCGACGATACTATAGATTCTTTTACCATTGTCATATCATCTTTGGGGCCATCATGATGCTCTTTAGCATACTGCACTTTTATTGGATTGCAATCTACCTCATGCCCGGCGTGGTCTACTATTGGGTATGTTCGCTTCCATCCATCCTGCAACACCTCAAGAGTTGGAGAACGGGGATTTTGATTCGAAACGCTGCCGTAATACCCAACTCGAATGGATGTTTCGAACTGCGATTGGCTACCATGTCGCAACCGCGGCATCATCCAGCCTACGTCAAACTTTGCATACCCGAACGTTCCCTCCTCGAGTGGCATCCATTCACAGTGGCGCATGCATCTCCACGCGAACTGCGGTTACTGATACGAGAGTTTGGTCCCTTCACGCAAACGCGCGCCGACGATTGGTGCAAACAACAACAACAATGACCAGTTTACCATTTTGGTGGATGGATTCTACGACAGTGGTCCTGACTGGGTTCAAGAATCACTGGGCTATGGTCGTGATACGCTGCTTTTTGTCGCAGCAGGGATTGGAATTACTCCCGTCCTTCCAGTTGTGATCAATCTCTGGAAGAAGCTTTCCACTTCTGCTCGTGGCTCTCCCATTGACATTCACATTCATTGGTACTGTCGCGATCCAACGCTAGTGCAGCATGTGTGGGCCCACTATCTGAAACCGCTCATCGCAGCAGAGACTCAACTGACGCAGCCGGCAGCACATGATCATGATGGCAGCAACCAGCAATCGAGAATACACTTTTGTGTCCATCTGACATCGAGTCGCAGCGGAGATGATGATCCAACGCGCGACTTTGATGAGTGCGACGACGAGAAGCAACCAGATTCATCCCGTGGTCTCGTGCGAGGCGGCGACAACGATCAACGCAGTCCCTCTGGATCCCCCTTCCAAGTTTCGCCTCGAAGTACTCTTAGGCTCGCGGCAGTCACCATGATCATCACATTTGGGATTCACCTTTGGTGGTATCATGAAATGTCTTGGAACTACCGTCACCGAATCTTTGTCCGTGGCTACTCTCTGGGTGTTGCGATTGCTGTTCCCATTTTAGTGTTCCTTCTTTTCGAATTTTCTCGATGGATTCTTGCAGCACATCCGCAACACGCTCTGGTCAGCGCTGAAGATGATGACGACGACGACGATGTGGAGAAGAGCAGTGAAACGTTGGATGAGGTCGCCCTGACGAATAACGACGAAAAGGTCATTGTCAAGGGAACGTGCCGATTTTCACTCGTTTTCAACCAAGGGCGACCTCCATTGGCCAACGTGATTCACCCAATTGTCGAAAGCGAATCTCCTGCCGTCTTCTTTTGCGGTCCGGGCAGCTTATGGACCGAGATGAAAGGGAGCGTGGAAGCCGCCAGGAAGGATCGCAACGATAGCTCTCGACGATGCTGTGCCTGGTTCAAGGAGCACTTTGAACTTTAACTGTAGCTATACCGTAGCTAGCTACAGTAAGTCTTCTTTCGCTATTGGTCCATTCTAGCTAGCTACAGAGATACTGCGTCTTTCTAACTAAGCTCCTCTCAATTTGGACACGGTGGACAAGTCAGGAAAAAGCTTGTGGCGAGGACAGGTTTAGTGAATCAAGTCTAGCTACCAGGTACGATAGTAACCATGACGGCGAGTTGATCGGACGAAACAGGCTTTTACATTTGGGAGGGCTTGGCATGGAACGCTTCGATTCAATTTAGCAGCCCCGTAGCAATACGTTGTAGTGCGGGCCAGGCTGTTTGTCTAGCTAGACATGGACCTGACAGGACCCTGCAATTAGTCTAGCATATTATTACGGTAATTGGCACCGCCTGATGAGAGAGACACGGCAACAATGGGAAGGTTCGGGCCAGTCACAGGTCGAAATAATGTGTGAGTGGTTTGAAGGTGCGGTTGCGCTTGTATCCAGGTCTGTGACGACCGGACCCAGGTTTTTCGGCACCACTGGTACCGTTGGGCACCAAGACCCTTCACGGAAAAAGTACAGTATCATGACTGAGACGAGAATGGTACCAGTGGAACCGTAGGTATTTGGTCTGATGCTCGCTTCGACTGGCTTGGCGGTTTGGCTTGTTGCAAAGGTAATGCCGTCATCAATCTAGCTAGTAGCTAATTTGCACTGGTGATTCTAGCTAGCTAAGTACCCTCTCTTATTTCGTAATTAGATAATATTAATGGTTACAGTACAGAATACGATACTTGCCGTGTATTCGATTTCTTTTCCTTGTATTTAGATTGCCTCGTCCCAAGTTGAGCGTATCGTATGTATTGTAGGTAGATTAGATTAGAATCCTTGATTTTGGAATTCGGCCAACATTCGTTCTTGTTGTGCGTAAATCATGGCGAGTTCCAAATCGTTGTCCGCTCCTGCTAGTTTGCTCTTCTTGTGTTGCCGGTAGTGCTAGGAATGGGCGGCCTGCTCCTCCTCCATCTGCTTGTCGTCGCAACAAATCCGTAAAGCGCATCTCTTTCTTGTCGCTATCCTTGGACGCGGCTCCCAACGATGGTCGTCGTCGGTGTTGTTGTTGCGCTGGCAGCGGTGGTTCTTCTTCCTGCGGTGCAAGTCCGTTGGTGGGCGATGCCGGTCGATGGGATCCGCACATTTCACACGACAAAAAGTTTTGGTTTTCGTTGTGATACGTACAGACGCCACAGGACCAACCTGGGGTTGGTGGTGGTTGTTTGTTGTTTGCTTACTGCCAGCGACGCTGGGGTCTTTGTAGCCCTCTTCTACTAAACGCTGCTGCAGGCGACGCAACGTCGCGTCCTGCGGCTGCTGTTGTCGTGACATGGCTCGTGAGACCATATCATTCGCATCATCGGCAAACGTGACTCCGTCATCTTCCTCATCGGGCCATGGCTGCGGATGGTGTCGTTGGTCTGCCAGTGTCATGCGGGCGACCGCTCGTTCAATTTCGGCGTCTTCTGTAAGAACGGACGCTTCGCATCCCGATGGATGATGTAGAATGGTCGTGGGCGGTGCGATGCGGCGAGCTGCGGACATGTCTTCATACTCCAAATCGGGCGCACCGCACTGACTACAAAAGTGATGAAAGTGCGGATTCTCAATTTGACAATTCTCGCACCACCAATCGACCGGTCGACTCAATCCGCAGACTCCGCAAAAGTTGTGTTCCAACGGAGACTCGTGTCCGCACTCGCACTGCCACAGGGCTGCTTCGGCTTGTTGGCAAAATTGTTGCGTTAGCTCGGCGATCTCACTGTCGGTCATCGTCTGATCGTCCGTGATAGATGTCGAGCGTCGATCACTGGACTCGCGGCGTCGTTCTAGGTCCCTCCGATATTGCGCCAACAGTTCTTCTTCTCGTTGTTCCCGCAGTCGTTCGGCTTCATCCATGTGCGGTCGAATCACGTGTGGTTGCTGCGGTGGTTCCTCCGGTTTGGCAGGGTCGGCTTCTTCGGGGCTACTGCGGACTGTATCACTGCCAGCATCGCTGGGGTCTTTGTAGCCTTCTAGTACTAAGCGCTGCTGTAGGCGACGCAACGTCGCTTCATTGATTCCTCCGGACATGGCTACTGTGTTCTACTGCTGTACTACTTCTAGTGTCGAGTTGATTGCTGCTGCTGGTGGTTGTTGGCCTCTTGCGCCACCGCTCCTCTACTACTACTACAGCTAGTCTTTCTTCTTGTCTTGGTTTGTTTGGTTGTAAGCCAATCTGCGCTGATGATGTGTGGATGGTCTCTGTGAGTCGTCGTTCGCTTGTTGCCTTATTGCTGCAAGACGGGTTCCTGATGCTTCTGCTGGGCTGGTGCTGTTACTGGTACTTGTCGCTCTTATCTTACTTGCATACTGTAGCCGTGTTTGATTGCTGCAGGAAGGAACGTGAACGGCCTCTTAGTTAGGCGAGGTTGCTTCTCGACGAATATGACGCACACTCGCCTACATCCCACGCGCCCGTCGGCGGATGCCTGCGGAAGTCACCATTCATTCCTGCCAAAAAGTCCCAAAGAGCCAGGTCCGGGCTGGATGGACAGGAGGCTTTTACACAATACACGTACAACAATAATAACTCACTAATAAACTAACTGTGTCTTGTCTTGCCAAAATTAAATGCAACTAATGCTTTACAAGATGCCAGATGCCGGCAACATGATTGGAGACATACATCCACGCCACAGCTCACGCCACAAACCCGGCGGCTCATCATTCGTCGTGACTTTGAGAGGAGCCCTCTGTAATAAGTTGTAAATAGCGCACACAACGGAACGGAACGCGACCGGCAAGGAGCTGTCATGGAAAGATAGATGGAAACATACATGGGGACAGTAATTGCTTCCGTGTACTACCGCTAAAGCTACCGCTACCGCTCCCACGTCGCTAAGATTCCACCAAAAGCAGAGCAACGAGTACTAGCTAGTAGTAAGCTTGTCATGGAACTCCATCAACATGGGAACGAGCGAGTTGGTCCAGGGCGATGACGCGAATGGGGCTACTGGCTCTAGTTGCCATGGTTGGTTAATTAGCTAATAAATGTAGTTCAAGTCGGGAAGAAGGCAGATAGACTACATGACATTGTAGAGCTGGAAACTTCTTTGAGAGGGCGGCTTTTGCTACCCAGGGGAAGGAAAGCAAATTTGTTGGTTGGCCTTTTTGGCATTGGCCTTGTTTTAATCAACTCTAGTCTAGCTAGTAAACTCCACCGCACCACTTACTCCT